ATTATATACTTTGTTTTGTGTCTTTTGTGGCCGCGCCGCGCGCGCGCTTGTCGCCCTAGATTGGCAGGAACGTAATGGGCGTTATGTTGCTGGTTACGGGCTCTGGGGAGTCCGCATCGTCACGGGTCATGGGTTGGTGGGATGGGCTGGCTTGCTCGTTATGTTTTGTTTTTTGCTTTTTCGTGCCGAAAAGCAGGAGGGCTAGTCGATGCGCTCGCCAAATGTTGTTTATGGGTGCGGAGCACGGTTCCCATTGGCGAATCTGTCCAGTGTCGCGTCGTCGCCAACTATTTTGTTCCTTACCCCGTCGGTTCTCGTTCACCACGACGCAAACTTTGGAGCGCGGGCGCGGGTATCGGATCACCGACAAAGCGGACGGGCAGGCAGTCGACAGTCGACCGCAACTCTCAAAGCGAAAAGAGCTTATCGGAGTGCCGGGCGTCTTTGACTGTACTTCTTGACGCCGCGAGTCCTTACAAAGTTTTCCGTCTGGATTCCTCCGCAACGTGGCACTAAAATCGTTTAAAGTTTAGTTTCCGTTTTAGTCACCAGACCACGTCTCGCGTAACAGGCTTCGCACCTGACAAGCCGGCTAAAAGTCGACTTGTTACGCACTCGCTTGTGTTGCGATAGGATCTAAGGTTCTTAGGTCCTACTATCATGCTTTGTGTGCACGAAAAAAAAATATTAGTTGGGACAGCAAACATGTCAGTTGCTAACCGTCCAACAAACATTTTTGTTTTCTGAACTTTAACTCATCAGCTGAAAAAACTAATGAAATTCTTAGGTAGAGCGAAAATGGTAGCAATGACAACAAACCATGCCCTTAGATGTAGCTAAATTTTTGTTAGCTGTGAGAACTGACATGTTCAGCTTGGAGCGCTAATCCAAGCCCTCGCAAATGAAAGTATGAAAAAGTCACCTGAGTGCTAGTGAACGGCTCTATGGTAGCACACTGTGCTTCATTGCTATGCACCTTGACCCTTTTCGGGCTGAAACGGGCGGAACACAGAACGGCGGCGGGTGGGTGTTGAACCCCGGATCTCAACTCCGCAGACGCGCTCGGAACCACTGAGCCACTGCGTCACGCACCACACTGGTTGATGCTGCCTAGCACGCTGGGATATGCAAGGAGTGGGGGGAATCGTATCAAGCTCTACTGTCAGCCAACACAGCTAACAGTCAGCTCTCACAACCAACATTATTACTTGTCCAACGAACTGTGTTGTGATACCGCGTGACGACACTGACGTTCTGGTAACAAAATACCTTCATTTTTGATAACGATTGGCATGCGTTAGCATAATGCAGTAGCGGTATGTTGTTCGAGGCAATGTGGGTGTAGTCACCAGAACATCAAATTTTAATAACTTTTAGTTCTGTCTGCTAAAATGTTATCTGGACCGCTCAAAACTGACATTTTAGTCGGTGAAACTGACGTTTGTTGCAACAACCAATTCTTTTTTTTCCGTGTGTGCGGTCTGTACTTGGCCGATTGTTGGGGCGGTGCAGGGGCGGATCTGGCTCGCAGTTCAAGGGGGGGCAAAAAATTGCGGGTTGCCTACATCCAGGGGAACTTTCATGTGATAAAATAAAAATTAACTTATTTCCATAATTTTTGTGATTTAAGGTGTGA